TCGTCAGCCACTTTGATTTGATGAAATCCATCTTTCAAGTCCAATAGAGAGAACATACTTTTATCTCTCAACATGTCTAAATTATCCTCAATCAATGGTAATGGGTAATTATTTTTTTCAATAATTTTGTTGAGAGATCTATAATCAACACAAAGTCGCGTTTTACCATTCTTTTTTTTTACCAAGACGATAGGAGAGCAATACTCTGAATGACTATCTCTTATAATTTTTCTTTTAATCAAATCATCTAATATAGTTTTTAAATCAATTTTTTCACTGTACGATAGACGTCGAGGTTTGAAAAAAAATGGTTGATTACTTTTCAAATTTATAACGAACTCAGTTTTAACCCTCGGTATATCAGGTCTATTGGGTTCGATATAAAATGATTTGAAAACTTTTTGCAATTCCTCTTTTACAACATACGATATTTTAGTATTTATAACCAAATTATTTATCAAATCTTCACTCGTATCATTCATTTCATCACACTCGATCATAAAAATTTCATTGCTGGTTTCAATGTCACTCGTTTTAGTTTCAACAATCTTAAGTCCGAATGTTCTGAAAAAATCTCTGCCAAGAACAATATTACTTGACATAGTATTATCATCAACGACATACAATATAATATCGTGCCGAGTATCATTAAAAATACAATTAACTTGAATTTGACCAACAATATTCAATTTTGATTTGTTAATTCCCGTGTAATCTTTAAGCTCATTTTTAAATGGCTGTACTAAACAAGGATTGATCATTTTTTCTTTAATAAATGTAATAGGACTACCACTATCTAGCAGACCTAAAACTTTCATCGAGCAAAAATTTTCATTATTTTCAAATTCAAGAATTATAATTTTATGATAATCATCTTCAATTAAACATTGCGAATTTTCAATCGTCGTTACATCATTTGATTTTTTAAAAGGACAATTTTTAATTGTATGATCTAGAGATTCACAATGAAAACACGAGCCTTTAGGTCTTTTCTCTTTTATACACTCAAATGATAAATGTGAAAAGTCACCGCAATTATAACATCGCTTCTTCGAAACACTATTTTTTTCAGATTTATGAAACTTTTCACTTTTTTCATTCAACTTTACATTTGACACTTTTTCAGTTAATGGACTCTCTTTCTTATCATAATTAGAATATTTTTTACTATGCAATGATATTTTGTCAAACGCGTCAAGAATAGACTCTTTCGTTGAAAATCTCTGCATCCTCGCATGATCTCTTAAATTTTCGTCAGGAATACCATCAATAATGTAATCATGTAAATATTCATTAAAGCTCTCATTCTTCTGCCAAATTCGACTTTCAAATCGCTTGCGAAGTCTTACTTTATCAATACGCCGAAAAAACATTTTTCGCAACGCATCCAACAAATTATCACTCGACAATTCTATGTGTTCAGCTCTCGAATGAAACCACGTAATAGCTTTACCTTTCAACTTGGAACTAATCAAAATACGAGTAGCATCATCAGACAAATTATACATTCTCATTAACAGTCTAACCTGTCTTTTCCAACTCTCATAATTGTCGCTATTACCGTCAAATGTACTTAACAATTCACCGATAGAATTAACAATTTTCAATGTATCAATATTTTGAAAATTTCGGGGACGAATATCTTCTTGCGGCAAAGTTCCTCTTGAATGTTGGGGGTTACCTGAAGCTTGAAAGCGATCGTGTTCTTGATCGATGGTGTTCAGCACAACCAGGTTGCCGTGTTCCGATGATCGGGTTGAAGCTGCGTGGCTGGTGTTTGTATTCGCTCTCAAGTCCGAAACACTCTGTTGCGACCCGCTTTGATCAATACCTCGGGCAAGCAGCAAATTGAACTGTTTTCGCAATTCATTGAGTTCTTTGGACATAGCATCTCGCTCGGTGGTTAAGCGCTGACAATCTTGCCGGGCCTGCTTCAAAGAAGGATTGTTGTTTTCGCAAAACTCCATAGTCCAGGCTCCATCGGGATCGAGTTCTTTTAAGCGTAGAATTAGTTCAGCTTTATTCCCAGCCGATTGTTGATTATTTTGTCGTAGAATTTCACATAATTCGGTGACTGTTAAATCAGACGGCTCGGCCATTTTAGGTTATTTTGATTTCAATTATTGCAATTAAATATGCAATAGAGTATGCACAAAGCAAAAAAAATTAAGATTAACGTTTTCTAATTTTCACAAAGTTTCAAAGAAAATTACGTCGACTCTATCCCACTTCTGATATTTGTAGCAATAATGATACCAGAAGGCGTGTTAATCCGTTACTAGTTTTTCTCAATCTGAACTTTATTTTATCAATCCACATTAACATAGCAACGCAAACAACTGAATACAGAAATAGGAACGCATGTATATAAGTATTTTCCTACACTATGTATAAAAGTACCTTTGTATTATTATACGTGATATACGTTATTGTTATAAAAATACCTGTCACATATCCGGTGGATTTACGGTGGAGGAGCAGTGGAGGAGCAGTGGGGGAGCAGTGGGGGAGCAGTGGGGGGAGCAGTGGAGAGCAGTGGAATTTTTGGGGGAGCAGTAATAATAGTATACGGGGAAAAACACCGAAAATCATGTAAAAATCACGTGAATTTCACATTTTTGAAAAAATTGTGGGGGAGCAGGTGGAAATTTTGGGGAGCAAGCGAACCACATCCTCTCTACTATATAGTAATAAGATATTATGATCACTATGAATTGCAAACGTGAGCGAGAGAGAGGGTTTCAATGATCCACTAACAATGTTGTTATCGGAAACGTATATAATACCTCTCTGATCGATGCGTGGGATATTTGCAGCGAATCTTTTGGACCTATGCGTTGATTTAGAGCTGTATGATAGTGTGGTATTGATATTGAGATACGTAGGATTTGTAATGACAACTGCTAGCTTACGGCCTAGCTTAATAATAGTATCGCGAGAGAGGAGAGAAAGCATCGTTCTCTCTTTACCTCTACTGCTTTATGTGCAGTTAATTGTCGATTTATTGATTCGTATACGTACGAACATGTAACTTACAAAGCCATTTTCCTACCGCCCGACAATGTAATATTCCATTTAATTTTATTTCGATGATATAAAATGGAAAAAATAACGTTTAATTGGCCGAGCGAGCCGTGATATATTTTTCCATGTATGTATGCGTGCCACATTCGAGCAGTGCAGTTTTTTTCTCTAATACGCGCTGGAACAATTTTCAAATGGGCAGCAGCGATCGATCCCAAATCGACTGCGCTATAATAGCTATCCTTTTGCATAGAGCGCACGCGAGGCAATACGCATGCTCTTCGTCATCAGATGTCAAGCTGAAACAAACAGATACGCTTGAAACAAAGCTTCGTTCTCGGGGGCGCGAGCCATTCGACATTTGTGCCAGCGGGAAAAATCAGCCGAGCTGTAATCAAGTTCAAACTGCTCTCTCGCGCTGATTGACAATCTTGGCGTTTCAATGCAGCAGCAGCAAAGAGGCCTCGCTCGTTCGCGCACGCCCCGTTTTCCATATTGTTTCGGAATGCGTGCACACGACTGTATAACGGCCTTATATTCCTGCAATGCTGCTACATGCGGGCCACTATGACTGCCATTCGGCGAGGTTGCTATTGCTGATAGACTCTACTGGATAAATTGCAACTGTTCGCGTATTGTGCAGTGTTTGCGGAAAAATTGCTCGATCTCATTTTCTATCTCGCCCTCTCTTTTTTCTCTTTCTCTCTTTCTCTCTATGTGTTGTTTTGCTTTTGATTTCGTTTGCTAGCAGCCCTTTCTCATTCCTGCTACCTTAGGGGTATGATTGATTTTTTTCCTTTTCATATTTTCTCTAGCCTTTCTCTACTATGAATAGTATTATTCTAACACTTATGAAACTTGTTTAATGAATTAATGAACATAATGTTGGTACATTATTAACAGAACTATCTCTGAGAGTGACAAAAAAACAACTCATGCGCACACCGTTCGTTTTAATCTGTACTGAAATCTTATACATGTATCTCAGCTGGTTGTTTCATCGAACCCAAGATGAAAAGTGTCAGTATTATAAGACATGGTGACTTTTGATCCGTCAGAAGAATAATACTGCGCCATGTTCTGAACCAAGGCGACTGAATTGGAGGGACGTACGCATATGCTTCTCGCAGGCGAAGCGTATTGTGCTCGGTAAGCTTCTAATAAGCTATTGTGCGCCTGAGTATATTTCGATCCTGTCCAGGCTTCGCGCAAGTGTACAAAGTCGCTTTTAAGCCTATAGCAGCCTCGAATTTAAAATGCACAGGATGTCAAGATTTACAACTCCTTCTCCTCCTGGCTTTTAATTTACAATAACCCTTTTACATCAAAAGCACGTGGAGGGAGGGAGAAAATGTAAACCACTTTGATACACGTGCATTTTAGCGCGTTATTCAAAACTGGCGATAGTGCAACTGTAAGGTTGGTGACGTTTCACTTAAACTTAAATGCAAAGATTATTTGTTTTGATTCAGATGTAGAAATAAATATTCTCGTTCTCTTGATGTTTTCAGGCAATATTCTTCATCGAGTATTCGTATGTATGCGGCCATCGATGCGTGTTGAACCTGTCGAGTGATAATAGTTGCGTATTCGTTGTTCGATTTACCCCATCAAAAGATTCTAGATACGAATGAAGAGATATATAAACATGACACAAAATCGAGTAATCGTACGCGCGTGGCGCAGCTGCATTAGCGCATATGTACACTTTGAAGTATTTCAGCGCGTTTCTCTTGAAAATGTGTCAATTTACGCGCAAGCGGACAGAGGTCAATTAAAGATTAAAATTGTATGCGTTTCATTTATTGATGCGAGCGCTTGAATGTAGACAAAAAATTTTCAAAGCATTCAGCCAAGTAGAGAAAGAAACATTAATTCGATACCAGCGAGTGATCTAATTTGATGATTTTTATTGTTTCTCCGATAGCGAGAAGCAAACGAGAGTTGCATACTCAGTGCATACAGTGCTATGTGAGTGGAACGATCTAGTTACGCGAGCCGCGTGATGAGCAGTTCGTATCATCGTGATGGCTCCGCTACTTTTCGCTCGTGACAACTTTAACATGGTCCTCAAGCTGATCTTCTTGCTGTTTGGTACGTATACTCGAAAGATGAGAGTCGAGAGTCTAATTAATATGTACACTTTTTGCGCGCTTAAGAGGCTCAAGATAAAGGATGCTAAGTTATTTCTGTAGACAAACCGTTATTTTGCGATTCTCTGGTCCGTAACGCGTATCTTTGTTACGCGAATCAGTCAAGTCGGGGTAGTACGGAAAAATTCAGTTTTCGACAAAAAGTCATAAAGCTCCTTATGCATGCACTGAGCACTATTTTTCATAGCTTTTTACGTTTGCTCCTTTTCTTACGCGAGCATCGGCTCTAACGTATGCATGCCAAAGCTTTTCTAAGTATGCAAAACTAAAAAAGAGAAGTAGATACGCTGCAGCTCCTGTGCTTTCTTGCTCGAGTGGTCTTTACTCAGGATAAAAGTTTCATCCTTGATGAATATAACGATACGTTTGGTCTCTGTTCTGCGTGTTGCATGTGTTGGTACCTTCAGTGTTCGCAGTTTTTGCCGAAGGAGTCGTTGTTGACGTTCGCCAAGACGACGACGATATCCCACCTGGAAAGACGAAGTTGCTCGTTGACACAACAGCCTCTAGCACTACCCCGATGACGATCACTGCTGAGCCGGATTCATGTAATTGCGATCATCGTTGCACACCACGGGGAGATGTAGACCGATCAAAAAAAAATACAGTCGAGAAAGAAAAGCAGATTGACGTTCGAACGAGTGGGGATGTTCAAATCTGCGCACGAAATCAACAGAAACTTGGTTTGGCTGATCGGACTTTTGCTAGTTTGTGCCACATGATGTGTTACAACACATGTACGAAGTACGCAGTGAGAAAGGCGACAATTTGGGACGACACAGAGCTTACTATTGTTGTCGCTCAGCGTGAAAGTTAGTTTGATATTTTTATTAAAGTTTGATGCGTTTAAAAAGATAAAAGTATCTGAACTGCATTTCTTATCTAGTTTTTCAAATACGTTTTGCAAGTCCTTTTTATTCAATTTCAAACAGATTAACTAAAGAAATTATTAAATCCTTGCCACGTTCAATAGTTATACTTATAAAATTGTTTTATTACTAAAGTCTGTTGATATCACGAATCAAACATGATTATTGTTGGAGCTTAAAATTTTATAAAGCATCTGTAAGTTTCATTTTATTTGTCTTTCAGATTACTATAAAGTACGAGATGGCTCGTGTTAATTTGTTCAGATATATGTATCTGCACCAAAACCACGTTATGCCTCGTAGTCACGCTCATGCAGTCAATCTTAACAACAAAGCCGTATTGTCAAGTAATGAAACTGTAAGTCCTGCAACGAACGTCAAAATAAAAGGGAATTCTTCCCCCATTAACATCTCAGTTTACTCTCAGCTCTCTCTCTCCCTCTCTCTTTTTCTCATTCCATGTTTCAACAATAGAAAAGTATCGAAAGGGTCGCCAGCTGCTATAGAAGCAGTCTTTGGCAATTATTCGCTACTTCAATCCACCCACAAATCTAACACGTTGTTGCTTTCCGCTTCTAGAGCACTGTATAACATGGATTAAAAATAGTCTCAACACGGTATCGCCGTCGTCGACACTGTTGCTTTCGCTGTTGCTTGAACGTGTCGTACTCTATTGGTTGACACCAAGCGTATCTCATGTACTAGAACAGGGAGGCTGGAAGTGCGAACAAATGGGCAATTAGAACGAAGGAACCCTTGACCTTATGTCTGATGCACATATACTTATTAAACATTGTACGCTAATAAGGCATTAGCATGTATATAGCTTTTTTGAATAGCCTTACTGAATATTAGTCAAATTTTCACTATCCTGTACAGACAATTTCGGAGTCATTTTTTTCAATAACGTCAATTAATTTGCTTCGCATAAAATTAGGGGTACTCTGGAAAGTGAAAGAACCTTGGAAACAAAAAAATGTAATCAACCTTTTAAAAAACTTTTTTTCCAAATCTTTTTCCACTATTCCGAAATTCTTGATTTTTTGCTGAGGTAAATTTTTTTTAAGTCGGCTTTTTTCGTAGACGTTGTGTGTAACTTATGTGTTATTTTGCATTTTCAAAAAATTTATGTTTTTAACAATTTATTTCATAGTTTTTACGTAGTAACTTTTTAAGCGAACGGTTTGAGTTACAGTATCCGGCATATGTACTCTTTTTTATGAGTATTCGTATTAAACTACATGTGTGTGTATAGAATACAAATATTTAATATTTTTCCTCAATACCTAATAACAATCAACTTCGTACATATTGTATCATAGTAAATATTAATAAGATGCGCTGAAATTTTAAACAAAGTTGAAATTAAGATAATTGATAAATATATTTTCAGTTATTAATGTTTATCACGCTTGCTCATATATTATCCCCTTCTTGTGATGAATTATTCATTTGCGTAATACGATCAATAAAGCTTATGATATCTTTACCAAGAACGCGTATGTATAGAATATTTCTGCTGAATGATATTGCGTTTCGATGTGAGGGATTTATTCGCCGTAAATAATTAGTCGGTAATATTGAACTGCCTAGCCTTGAAAATCAGAAGAAGTGACTATTTTTTCTAAGCCCAAATTAATTTAAAACTCACTAAGAGTGTACATTTTTTCATTCGCAATTGTCTACTTGTAGAGACCAACTGGCAGGCGTTGGTACATCTGCTTACATTGATAACATCGCATTTAATCGTATAGTCAGACAATTACTCTACTTGTGTCCGACTCAATTTTTGTTATAACGAATGCAGAGCAGTAGGATAGAATCGCAGATTCAAATTTCAACTCGTTCAATGCTCCTTATGCTTGTACTCTTGATCAGCTTTTCAAAGGCTTCGATTCTTTCCTTGTATATGCGCTTAGAAACCTCTTGGGGCCTTTTGCACCCTCCACGTTTATTATTAAATATAGAAAAAATCTTTTGTGGCTATGGGACAAATCACCTATGGTTCGAGGCTGAACGGCTCGGATTTCTCAATTATTAAGTGTTCGTACAGAAAACTACATGTATTGGAAAATCAATTATACAAAGAAAAAAATGTGCTTTTATTAAAAAAGTTTCATTTATTGATAACCTCCGAAAAGTAGGAAACATAAATAAAAAGAAAAAAACATTCACTTTTTTGTTTTGTATTAAAATCGACGCAATTAAAATTTTTTTTAACTCATGCGTCAGAAAGCTAGAATGAATATCACCTACGGAATAAAAAAAGTCAAGTGAATATAAATACGACATCATAAATTCCGGTCGAAATATGAAAGGCTGAAAAGCCGAGCAGAGAATTTCGAGGTTGGATGGCATACGTAGACTGGGTCGGGAAAGGAAGAATTTTATTTCTTAATTAAAGTATCCCATTCTTTGGACGAGTCTCGCCGAAACGTAATAAAAATATCTTGACCCCAAGTGTATAGTGCAACGCAACAGTGAGCAGTAGAGCTTTCGCTTTGATTTAAGAAACTTTCATCTACTATCTCGTTTGCTCTCTCTCTCTCTCTCTCTCTCTCTCTCTCTCTCGCTTTTACTCCAGCTTTTGGCCTGTGTCTGTCTCGCTTACTCTTCCTCTCTCATGTTCTTTTCGACTCAAGGATTTGAAGCGCTCAATGGGTCCACAGGAGCATTTTCGCCAACTTCTTTCTTTCTGTCTTTGCAACGAAGATGGTATATATAGGTACTGCAAACGCTGTGACGAGCTAGGAATAGCAGTTTGACTCTCTGTCTCACTCGACAGCGTTCAACTAAATTTTTCTTTCCCTCTCGCCGGATTATTGAGAAAATTGTCAAATTACAGCTGGTAATGATACACATACACACAAACTCGGTGAAAGAAGCGTCATACCTAGATAAAAATGAGGAAAGAAAGAGAAAGAGAGCGAAAAAAAGAAGGAAAGATGGCTGCGTGTGCAGACCACCGAGTTGCATGCAGATAACGAAGAAACGATAAAGAAAGACAGCTGAGCTGCACTATACATATCATACATACGTAGAAATCCATAGTTACTGTGTGCCTTGGCACAGAAGGTCGGAAGGAGTGAAAAAGAAAAGCTGTGGTGGCGGGTTCGTCGTCGTAAGAATCGTCGTCGTAGTCGCGGCGGCGGCGAACTGACTTAAATCACGCGAGTCATTCCTCGAGCGATTCCGATCCATGCTAGAACGATCCTTTCTGCATCTAGCATACAGCTCGTACACCGAACCCACGTGTAAGTGCACAGGCGTATATGTATATATAAATATATGTGAGCGCGCGTTTGTGACTTGGCCGCTTATGCACGTGTGTGCTGTGCTTGCCGCGAGTAGATTCTTATTATTATGAGCCCTCTGCGTGGGGGTGGGATGGGGCGTGGATGTAATCGGTCGCACGCGATTGCCAAGCACTTTTTGTTGTGTATATAACTACTAAAGCACGAGCCACTGCCGCAGGCATCGATATTTACCAACTTTTTTTCAGACGATCTGCCATTAGAGCGAGAGTACTCTATGTAGGTGCCGAAAATCCGATGCGGTGATTTCTACGATCGGCCATCTGCGTAATTCATTTGGGATTACAAAATGAACCTTGGCACGCCTAACGATCATTTTTTCCGGCAGTGATGTATTAGTTACATTTTTGAGCACCGAAATTGAGACATAGGGTTCCAGGATAAATTTTTCACTGTCAGTTTAATATTAACGCTATTCTTAGAATTTTTATATCATAAAGTGAATACAAAAAAAGTTTAGCCGCGCATAGGTTGAATTCGTAATCTGAATGAGCAATATTTTTTTGCGATTGTCGTAAGTATATATCATTTTTTGAATTCTATATTGTTCGGTATGTATATATATACCAATTATGAAAGTCTAAACGAAACGGTATAAAGTTACTGATTGCCTACCATATTCTAAGAAAATAAATGGTGCCTTCACATGCAAAATAAAGAACGAGCTTTTTATTACCTTCAAAAGTTCACGTCGAGACGCGACTTTAATGCACCACCATACAGAGAAACAATGTTAAAGCGACACCGTTCCTTATTTCTGTATACGTATACTCTTCGCCAACGTCATACAAATGAACTTAGGATTGTATTACTCACAATTAGGCAGCAGATTACTTGAAATAATAATTCTCTGTGCGGCAATTCGACTCGATTTTAATGATTCATAGTTCTCCTGGACGTTCACATCGAAGTTGAAATGATTTTATGAACTAATAAAAATAAGAAATTTGAAGAAAAAAATCGTTCAAAAGGAGTACGTGGATTTTCTATTCTCGAGGAGCGTGTATTATATTGTCGGCTCCAAGCTTCGCCAAATATTTCACGAGCAATTTGTTTTGAATTCTGGACGGATACTGAATTTATTCGATGATTAAACTTTGGCCCCTTACCTGGAGAGCTAAGCCAGTAAATGTGATTAATGCCCCGACTCTGCAAAAAATGCTTTGCAATAAATTCGCAGCGCGCGCGCGCGCGCGACTGCCGCGATGTTTAATAAATTTCGCATCGCTCATCGCGGTGCTCGTTTTTCCGCAATAGCGCTTCTCTTCCCGATATAGCGATGCGCCGCTCACCTAGACACATATCGATGAATTCAGCTAGCTGAGTGAATTTATTTTTCATTCTCAACTCGAAGAAATCCCAATCGGTCTCTCGAATGCTCCACGCGACCAAGCGAGCTCAAGCTATGAATCGCTGCCTTGACTTATTTGATAAGCAAGTCGCGCAAGGAGTCTAAAAATATTGTGTAAAGTGTATTATAAATATTGGAAAAAGCATTAAATTCGTTACCCATGGTGCACAGAACATGAAGACACGCAAAGATGTAATACAGACCCACAATATGCAAACAAAGTACGAATATTTGACCAGACAAGTGCAGTCGTACATCGAGATCGCCGTAAATAGAATAAAAAGTCATAGGGCGTTTATATGAAAAGCGCATCAAGCTCCGTTATACTTTTTCTTTAAATCCTTGCCTCAACCATCAGCGTCTCGTAATTGGATGACGGGAGCATACGTATGCAAATCCTCGGCAAGCGGATTCGTGTGTATGCGCGTACGTTCCAAATACTCTGCGTTACCCGCGCGCGTGCCTCGCTCTTTTTTCTACATATCTCGGCCGCGTAACAAGTACAGGTTACAAAGTATACAGACACTTCGCACGTCAACCGAGTGTGTGTATATAGCGAAAAAGGAGGAAAGAAAAAAAGAGCATCCCCTCGTTCTTGTGTACACAGATTAAAAAAAAAACGAAAAAAAAGACGCGTGCGATGTGTATTTTGCATTGCTCACGCGGCGAGCTGCTCGCGCGCGCTCTCCGAGTAGCGAACCCGCAGGGTGGGGATGAATGGCGCACGCCTTGTGACTGCATGTATTTGTACGTTATAGGGTAGGTGGAGAGGGGCGACAGCGGCTGCTACGATCTACCCTCTGCATGGTATAGCGCCCGGCGTGTGCACGACTTGCTGCTGCTGCTGCTTCGGCTGTTTCTCGTTGCATTCGGCGAGTTCAGTCTTCGCGCGACGAGCTCGCGCGCTTTATCGTCACCCCCGTGTGCGCCCCGCAGTAAGAGAGACTGAGAAACGGATAGAGACGGAATTTTTCGAACGGAAGAGCTATCGCGTGTCGTTTTCGTCGAGAAAGAGAGAGAGAGAGAGAGAGAGAGAGAGAGAGAGAGAGAGAGAGAGAGAGAGAGAGCGCGAGGATAGGAAAAACTTTCGGCGCGCAGAACGTTGATTGATCAAAGTTTCTAAGCGGAACAGTTGCAGTTGCATGCGTGATAAGTGAGTGTGAAAGCGGAACTCGAAAAGCAGCTATCTCTAGTCTTTGGGAATTGAGCCATTGCGGCTTCTAAAAGAAATCGGCTATGGCGAGGTTCGCCGATTGCCAGTGCCAATGGCGCTGCTTCAGGACTTTTGTCGGTGTTTGTTATCTTCTTTGCTGCATCTTTCACTCCGCCGATTCACAGCTCGCTGGTGAGTTTTATTTACTTGATTTTTTTTTCATTGCTTGTCTTTGTCGTACTATAGTGAATTGACCCGATTATCTCCCACGCGGTGGCAGATATCGAATGAACGCTCTTGAACCATGTGAACTGACCAGCTGACTCCGATCGAGTTATCCTGTCGTTTTACGCGCGATGCACGTCGCTCGCGTGCTGTCAGTTTCAGGTTTCGCTCCTGCAGTCTTGAGTAGTAAAAAAATTCCATTTCTCGTTCGAGTAATTATGGTGCGAGAGCAAAGAGTCAGAGAGTAGAGGGAAGGCTCGTAAGAGAAAGTGCTCGAGCATGCAAAACGCGCGAACAAGTGCATCGGTCCACGTGCTCACGTGTGCGGCTGCAAGCTGCTACTGCGCTGCTGCTGCTGCGTTATGTGCATGTATGTGAAGTTTGCAGCGTGTACGTATGCTTGTTTAATACACCTTGAAGCTTCAACCACGACGATATCACATGTGAGAATTGAATTGAGAACTTGCGCGTATTTTTTCCTACCCTTACGTACTTATGCTTATTCCGAGAGCTCTGATTTTTCTCCGCGTTGCGTGCTTTTGTTTTTAATTTCAGTGTGTTTAACGCGCGCACGCTAAGGCAAAAAAAACTAGTGCATTTTGTCTTGTGGAGCGACTGAAGTCTAAGTTACTTCGAACTACGATTTTCTCTCTTTCTCTCTCCCTCTCTCTTCGACAATAAGCTTCCTGCGTTTCGACCTACATTCAACGCACACTAACGATAGAATTTCGTGTCAACACGCTTGTCGGTCCTGTTATTGTGGGCCGTAAAATGAGGAGAAAATTGACGAGGGAAGGAGAAAACGTGAGAGAGAGAAAGAGAGAGAGAGAGAGAGAGAGAGAGAGAGAGAGAGAATGAGGGATGGTGGGAGATACATAATTAACAAATAGTAAAGAGGAACAATTCGCCAAATTATTCGTCATTTGGTAGAAACGTGTTGAAATTAAATTCGTGCATTATCAATTTTACAGTAGTACTTCTCCGTGCACAAGCTTAATCCAATGAACTAATAAATATATATTCAATAATACGTGTTTTCCCCTGCCTCGGCATTTTACCGGGTCGTATTATTTGCTCACGTTCACGATTTACTTTAACGCGATTAAGCCACTATTAATGTTAGGTTTATTTTATTAGAATACGTGAATTGCATGAGACCACTGATGATTCATAATTAGTGCGTGGCACTCTGGACGCATTGAAATTTTAATTAAAAATTCAGATCTGCATTCGCACTTTGCGTCGTAACGAGACAGCAACAAAATCTGCTTACTCTTTGAAAATTTCTGATTTTCTGGCAATGCGCATTGGAAATTGGAGGATAGCAGCCGATGCGAGAAAGTTGATTTTAACAAACATTCAATAAAGTCGAAAAATAGGATTTTCTGGAAATTCTCGGGTCACGAATGAACATTTTTCAAGTAAAATTATGCTGGTGTTTCCGAAAAAAAATGAAATTGCAAGTGCACGCGGTCACCTTTGCTTGACCATAAACAATAATTCAATCGGTCGCACGCACGCGCGCACCTACGAGACAAATCCGTTCCAACAAACGCTTGGGTAACAACAGCAACAGCAACACTCCCAGCGGTTTTAAGATATATAACGGCCGCATAGTTGCGAAGCGGCGCCGTTGAGAATAACCTCCAATTCCCGGAGGCGAAATAGCACTGGTCAGTCATCAATAAGATAATACCGGTAATGGAGCGGCTTGGCGATATAGCTGTGATAATTGAGTGGATCCTTCAAGTGGCGCACGCGCTTGTTTGCGAGTAAGAGAGCTCCGACCCCGTGCGCGTGGACGTGAAGCACTGCTGGCCGCAAAGACGAGTCGGGCGCGCGAACCCAAGAGAGCGAGAGAGACAGATCGATTCTCCAAATGAGACTTGCAAATGCTGTTTGACATCGCACGGGGGGCTAGGCCTCTGCTGCTGCTGCTGCTGCTGCTGCTGCTGCACTGCTCGATCGTCTGCACGGCGCACGGCTGGAGGCATTTGCGGCTTGCGATCGCGTGTCTGTGCTGTATATGGTGTCCGTGAATCGATATCATTACCGGTTGCCACGAGCCAAGCCAAGAAGGCTGCTGTTTGTATACTCGTAGGTGTTTGCCCCGCGCCGCCGTATACCGTCGTTGCCCCCTTCCGGATGTACATTCGCGAAATCTCACGGAAACCCGGGTCAGTATCTGTGCAACGGTCTAGACTGGCGATGAGTCGATTGCGTTTCCTGATATTGCGCGAAAATCTCGATATTTCGTCGATCGAGGACGTGAGATAGAAGGAAATTTATCGACTTCGGTACTGTAGAATTATTATTTATTGTCAAAGTATTAATTCATAATTTTTTTATTTTTACCTTGAATTTGGTATCTCCTTGAAAATTTAAAGTAATTTTTAAGATATTGAAGTTTAGACGTAATAAAATTAAAATACTTCCTATAACTAATTTAGAGATTCCATCGAAAAACATTTTAATGCGGTAGTTAGATAATACAAGTAGAAAAAAATTACCAAAAACAAATTTGAGAAAGTTTCTTATTATTAATTGAACAAGTGTTTATTAAAGCTCGTATATTGCTGATCAAGGATATCATTTATTTTGACGATGTATAAAACGTAGTCGAGTAAAAAATTGAAATTAAAACTTTTTATATTTACCGTTATCGATTACTTAACGCGCGTTTTTTAATACTACCATAATTTCGATACTAACCGATACGAGTCCATAATCTGTATTGAGTATCGATACATCGAATTGCAATATTATCGAAAAAAAGGCACGGGTACTATTACGAAGTATTGGCTCAAAGCACGATACAATGTCGATGAGCATCGCCGAACCCTCGGGATTCACGCAAAACTTCATTGTTTTAAGTCGAATATGAACGCGATGCTATATTTTTATTTTTCCCTTTTTTTGCTCCACAAGCCGCGAGCTCGCGCACACGAACTCGCAGCAGTTGCCACCACGAAAATCGATGATTGTTTGCCCCGAAGATACTATTTATTTTCCATTAATTCTGCATCACGGTAATCGGTAATGTCTGTGTGTGTGGACAATGATGCGAGAGCGGCTTCAATTCATACATCAGTCCAGATTAGCTCAATCTGGTATGCACGTAAGCGTATATATAACGTTTCATAGCACGCGCCCCACGTTTGTTTTAATCCATCTCTCGCTTTATTTATTTCTATCGGGTAATATCAATGATTCAGCTAATGAATCAATAATGATGTGTGGCGTGTAATTTCAGACACAAGTAATGAGCTTGTTGAAGCGCCCAGCTGCAACTCAATATCCACAAATATTTGTTCGATCATTCTGGCGCAACCCCCCGTACTCGTCGCCGAGCCGCGCGTTTTGCATACGCAGATGCGCGTTGCGACGCTTTGTTTCTTTTACTTGTGCAGCAGCAAAGCATCGGCGTGTAAAATATGTATTCGGGCAACACGTTGTCGATGCGCGCGCGGGGTAGGATCACTTCCGCGGAATAACGACGGGTTTTACGCCCGCCCAAAAAAATGAGGTAAAAAGTCTGTGTTTTGTGTTGGCCGGTTGAGTTAGCTCCGAACCCGATTAAATTCTACACGACTGCACATCTTGAGCCGAGAGAAAGAGAGCAGGTGGTCATCGATGCGCAAGCTATTATATACCTATGTATATATAAGCAGGCTGACTCGTTGTTTGCTCCTAGCTGCTGCTTCTGTTGCTACTGTTGGCGTTCTTCTGCCTCTTGATATTACTCAACGTGCATCCATTTTTGCTGTATAAAGATTAATAGAGAGCTGTCCTTTTTTAAAATACAATCTTTCATGGCGATGCATATCAATACGTTGCATTATAAAAAAAACGTGATATTTATTTATTCGAAAAATCAAAACAAAATGCGAGTAATTCGATTTAAAAAATTCAAGTAAATCAATTTACAATAGAAAAAAAAAAGTAGCGCTGCAAGATGTGTAACTAAAGTCACATTTAAAGGTAAAAAATAAAAAAAATAAACAAATAAAATAAACCAAATAAAACAAAAAAGTACTTGACGTTGCACTTCTGGTGATTTTTGTTTAATATGCTCGGACACCAGAAGTGCAACGTCAAGTACTTTTTCGTTTTATTTGGTTTATTTTATTTGTTTATTTTTTTTATTTTTTACCTTTAAATGTGACTTTAGTTACACATCTTGCAGCGCTACTTTTTTTTTCTATTGTAAATTGATTTACTTGAACTTTTTAAATCGAATTACTCGCATTTTGTTTTGATTTAATTACTCGAATTTTAGATAAAATTACTTGAATTGTTTAATGTTAAATTCTATTTTTAATATTCATAAAGACGTTACACATCTTACAGCTGTTCTTATACAGCTGATTTTGTTTTAATAAAACTGATTCAATTTTAATAAAACTGATTTTTCGATTTATTCTGTAGTCAATACCTTCCGATTAATTGTGATTTCGTTTATTGAGTGTCGAGGCCGCTTGCGCGGCCTCAACTTACATTAAGTTCCGTTTCAAAACGAATTCAAGTTTAATTCAAATTTTCGATTTAGTTTCAATAATTTTGACCGATCAACACACGTAAAAACGCAACGCGCGAGCGAGAGACAGAGACGCAGAGATACACAACGCTACATTGTACGTTTCATAGAAATGAGCTCTGACTGTCGAGTACTGCTCGCCCGTGCTGTGCGTGTCGCAGCAGAAGCGAACTAGCAGTCGCTCGACACTGCCTAGCGTAGACCAATCACAGCGCGAGAAGCAAACAGACGCTACTGAGACTAAAAACCTACGATTATCGCGCTCGCTCGCTCGCTTGTTTTTCACGGATTCACTAGCCTACCCAACGAGCCATAAGACGTTACACATCAAAAATATAATATAGTTAAACATTTTTGAACTCGTACTTGGGGCTTTGACTGCTAACAGTGAACTGAATAATTAATAGGTAAATTTGCTATAGATACTCGA